GGTGGAATATGAGGCCATGACTGACTCGTGATTATTACTAAATTAAACAAGTTTGGATGCTTTATATTGGCGAATCTCTGCTGACGTCATTGTTTACATTTTTCCTCATCACAGAGGACAAGGCATCATGCCGGCTAGATACGAATTGACTTTAAAACTTAGTAAGTGGTGATATTTTTGGCTCTTTGGGTGTAGTATCCATGGAGAAATGAGTTTTCAAAAAAGCTGCAAAATATTTGGGTGGCAAAAGCGCTGATGAGCTCATACATTTTTTGTAAAATTTTGAGTTTTTAAACCCGCAAACAGCTTTTATTTTGTGTATTTTGAGATTATTCAAACTCAAAACAAAAGTCCAAACAATATACAGAAAACCTCACCGCAGAGCATACAAAACTCAAATCAAAATTCTCGCTTAACCTGGGTTATCTTATCGGGCTTTGAACAACCCGGCCCAGGAGCTCCGCTTTTAGGCTTGGCTAAATCTATATATTACTGATAGCTAGTGAGAAGTTGACTGAGTTTCCAATGCCCCATTCAGACCATGTTTGGGTCGGTCACGCACCCAACACGGGAAATGAAGAAGGTACGGTCAGCTTTAATAATCCCTTTTCCTTTCTATCAACAACAACAATATTCTGTGTGCACTAGGGAATATGTTCTTAATCAGTCCTCTCGTTTACCGTTTGAAAAAAGAAATAAAAGCTCGGACCTAAGTTGATTAACAACCTCGAAGCTACTATGTTTACAGAAAGAGTTCCTTGAGAGAATTGTGTTTAAAACAAAATCCGACAGGAAATCGAGAAATTTCAGTTTTTAGTCGACAAAATCCTTGAACCAGAATAATGCTAAGTATTTTACAGGTCCTTTCTTACTTTTTCTTAAAGCTTAAGATACAAATAGTTGCCTGAAATAACACCGGAAACAATTTCCCAAGGGACCTCGAGAAAATGAATTTCAAACTTCACAGACATTGCTCAATCACAGGTAACATTTCATCCAGTCAGTTTCATTTCACCAGTCCTTTCAAATGTTTCATACGAAGTTCAAAATTGCTTTCGACATTTAATTCTGTTAGAAATAATATTTTTAGAAGATATTTAAAGTTTGCGAAGCGATGTAAATGATCACGGTACAAAGTTTTTGTCCACGGATTCTTTCTTAATAATTGTTCTGAAATTTAAGCACTTCATCCTATGAAGGCTGAAGACAGCAGAAACAGTATTAGAAATCAAATCAGGATTCTTTAACAGTTTATCAGGTAGAGCAACGTCTTGAGTTCTGTTTCGGGACAAGCGCGCAGACTATGTTTATGGCTTTGCGTTCGATAGCGGCCGGGTGGAGGCGGACGCTTGGAGAAGATATGGAGCGCCAAAGGCACCGAATCTGTCGCTTGCAAGCAAAACTGCGCGTTCAAGTCCATTATTTCGTCCGCACAGCGTAATTTCCTACAGAGTCGATCAGGCAGTGCGACTGCGATGCAACACGGGAGTAGAATACACCACAAGTAAAAAATGTCCAGAGTCAAAACGGGATTAGGCGCGTGGAAATTAGTCACGTGGAAAACGCAATTCAGATCCAAAGGTGAGATTTTATCCAGTCTTTCTGAAAAGTCTATCGTTAGGAAAAAATTTTTTCGCTTCCAGAGATGCTTTTCGACGTATTCAGAGATTCTCGAAAGTTCTCGTGCAACTGCAGGATCCGATAGGCTGAAAACAACCATAAAGTGTATGTCAAATCGGCTAAGCATGGCTTCGTCCTCTTGCCTCCTTGTAACACACATTATAATTGGCTTGGTGAACATGGCTACCAGGTTTTCGTAATCCCTCTTTGTATTTAATTTCATTGTGTGTTCTTGAGTGCGCCAGATATCTGGTACGGGGTAGATAGGCTCGAACATTTCGTTGCACGATAGCACGGTCACTTCGTTGGGATTGTAATGAATCCACCCCGGTTTCACCTCGACATCGAACACCAGGCTTTCCGGGAGACAAGGGATCCTTCCCTTCTTGACAAGTTCTGGTAAAGACGAGATCGGACAGAAAACTAAGCCAGCGTTACTTGTGCTCATCATGAGCGAAGACAATTCTCACCCAATTTGGTTGTTTTTATGAACTGCATCTTGACTAAAACTGGTTACGTTTCCCTCTGGAATTCGACCAGGGATTAATTTTAGAATTGCAGACAAAGGTTGTTAAATATATAACGTAAACTTTCCACTAACTTNGTACCATATTGTCTTCGAAAAGCCCCCATGGGGAAAGATAATAAAGGATGTATGTATGTATTGAGAAATTTCTGGTCAAATTACTGATCTAGCTCCCCTCATTGCATCACAACTGTTTTTCCTGCTCGTTAATAAAACTACTTCTAATTATAGCTTCTAGAAGAATGCTACTTTCCCACTGGAATTTAACCTGGGAGAATTTGCACGTAACAGCAGAAAGGAAAAAGACAAAAGACTTCGATGAAGTAGCGTAATACATTTGGCTGCTTATAAAAAGCGGTTTAATACAAGAAATGCATATACAAAAAAAAAAAAAAAACATAAAAAAAAACAAGTTCAATGTCTTTTTACAAGACGGCACAAAAATTCCAATTCTCACCCGTTATAGACAGTTCAGGTTTAAAACCTCTTTCAGATTTTCCAAGTTACAACGAAATGTTACGTTGGCTACAGGTAGAGTGCCAACAATTGAAGAAGGTAGTGAGGGACTCTTAACATGACTCCCGGGGTTACTCAGTTCTAGCTCGGGTTGAATCACCCCGAAGGGTAACCCTTTTGCAGTCAAATGCTTGCTCCGGGTAACCCTTGTCGAGACTCGGGGTGACCCGAGTAGAAGGGTTAAACACTGGGCCAAAATCGAACACAGGTTGATACTTTCATTCCAATAACCAGGGTTGTTTCGGTTATCCTTGTTATTTTGTTTGTAAATCACGACCTCCCACCAACAGCGGCTACAAACATTACAAATAGACAACGCATGGTCTAAAAAAACTTAACTGTATTAACTTGACCTTTCGTATGTTTACAGCAATGAACATACATCTTCAAAAGTGACGGTTATAACTATAATAAAAAGTTATAAATCTAAAAATAAACCGAGGCACTGGTGACAAGCTAGAAATTAATAAAAGGGTCCCATTTAATGTTGTGACCGATAGAGATGACATGGTTTGAAACAGCGGAGGCGAGACCCTCTTGTGTAAGAGCTTTAAAGCTTGGATTTTACATAAGTCTGCATAATAAGGACTTTGTGTGTGGATTTTTAGGAAAATCGGTCAACCCTCATTACCAAGTCTGTCCCGGTCTCTCATGAAGAAGCCGTTAATTAATTACTTTTGAACTTGAAGTATTCAAAGAGTTTAATATAAACAATAATATCTCGAGGCAGGCCCTGTGGCCCAACGGATAAGGCATCTGACTACGAATCAGGGGATTCCAGGTTCGAATCCTGGCGGGGTCGCTCATTTTGTTTTTTAATCTTAAAATAGTTCTTATTTTCAATATAAAGATATCACAGAGATAACATCTCTCAACAGGAGAGCCATGCATTTTTGTCCAACCTGAACAACGACGAAAGCAGAAAGGAAAAAGACACGTATGAAAACTTCTAGCGCTGAGATTTGTCCGGGAAAAGTTTTAAAGATGGCTGGAATACAAGCTATCCTGACCAGATAATTTGGTGGTTTAGACAAAATTCCCTGCTTCAATTGATTGATTCTGCAAAATTCATTTGAACTCAGAAATCAAAACAAATTCCAAAAAGATTTGTTCCTCGTAAAAAATACCTATTGTTACGAAAAAAAATTACTTAACTTGACTTGTCAAATACCACAAACAGATTCTGATGAAGATATGTAAGACCAACTACTGTCTTACTTGACATGAAACCAATTTTTTTATTTCTCAACGATCAGGGGCGCTTCGGGAAAATCGGCGAAGTGAAAACATTTTATAATCTTCACGTCAGATGGATTTTGAAAACGTGATATCTTACTTGGATGGGAAATATTAATTTCCATTTCCGAGAGGCCCCGTGGCCCAATGGATAAGGCATCTGACTACGAATCAGGGGATTCCAGGTTCGAATCCTGGCGGGGTCGCGTAACTTTTGACGTTTTTGTTGCAAAAGAGGCGGTCAGATTCGAAGTCTCTAAATGATCGGTTGTTGTTATTTTCAGCAACACGAAAAGGAAACAGGAAGATTAAAAACAATCAATGAAAATCATCTCTGCTGCTTTGCCTTGGCCGGCAAAATCTAAGAACGGAGAACTTCAGGACCAAAAATTGGTAAGTTTCTTGAAAATTAATTTTTTGGCCTGATTCCTACTTTATTCATTTTAAGAGCAGGCGCGGAGTACCCATTTGAAATCTTTCAACCAATCATATTTGAGCAGAATTCCAGGAATCGTTACCACGGTGGCAGAATCCGTTTTGATCTTTGCGTGATGAATGGGAAAGATCGAAACGACTCTGTTAGCAGGATCGAGATGGAGGCAACCTCGTTCCCAGGGTCTCTCAGGGCGGAATGAGATACCCTGGGAACGAGGTTGAGATGCAGGTTCAGAGGCTATGAGTGTTGGCGCTGACCCAAAGGATCGTGGCCTTCGAGAAGAAAATGTGTTGGGTTTTGTTTCTCCAGCAAAAGGCGTCAATATACCTTTTTTCAGTGTGGGAACAAAGGTGACATTGGCTCTGCTGTCTCCATTGGAGGTGGTGCAACAATTAGAACCACATTTAAAGGAGCGAGAGGTACTTTCCTTCTCTTCGTTTGAGGCTTACTTTGAACAACCCTTTTCACAGTTAGTTTTACTCATTTGTATTACAATGTAATCCAACGTGGATGCGAGGCAGTTTCGGGCTACAAAAACTACAAAATAACCCGAAATTTGCCTCGCACACATGCTAGCTTATATTGTAATGCAAATGAGAGAAGTTAACGGTGAACAGGGCTTCAATAAAGCCCCGTCATTCAAGTAAAAACAAATGGAGTCTCTGATCAAACGTAAATTGCCATAAACGATATAACTTTTAATGCAATTATTGGGAGTAATTATGATTATTTCAAAAATTCATTTGACTGCATCCCCACAGCAAGGATGGATATTGGATTTACTAAAACTACTTCATTATGCAGTGCAATTTCTAAGCAATGCTATTTAAGGTGATTATGTCGAGTACAAATTTGTCTGAATACAAAACGTCACTTGGGGGTGCTGCATACCGTACTTACACTACTTTACAAAAATTGTATTAAGTATTGACTAGTTTTAGACAACGTTTTGATTTCTGTTAGACCTAACCAATCAAGACAGTCAACACACGTTGCCACGTCAACGCCATTCCTGAAAGTTGATTGATTGACACGGATCACGAACGACGGCCTTGAAGAAGTTAGGATAAACCCTTAAAGATACGCAAGCATCACGTAGCTAGTTCACGACAGATAAAAAAACGCTTAATACTAAGAATCAAATCCCTCGTTAAATTATCTCATCCATGGAAGAAATGCAATCTCTACCTTCCCTTTTTCTCTTACGTGAACTTATAAGCTTTGATAAGCACTTTGGTTTAGCAATTTAAATTGTTCATACTACAGTAAGTATAACTTGCAATACTATTCAGCGAAGCCAGAGCCTATTAAGTGTGATTGTTGCAGTTTAAGAGTTCTTCTGCGGGAGTTTGATTGTCACCTGACAAGACAAAGTAAAATAATAGTAAGTCTCACGAAGTGGGGCGGGCTTGTTTGTTCTTTCTTTGGGGGAGAGAGGTGGTCGGTTGGAGTATACGGCCGTATCCTGCTCAAGAGGTTGAGCAACCAGCACTGACGTTGTGTTCATACAGTCCTGCCACGGTACTGTGGACAGATGTACTGCTCAGCTGCAGGGATAAAAGGATGGGAAGGGGAGATGATAGGGAAGAGGTGGGGGAATCAGAGGTTATCGCCCTTCTGATTACACAGTTTCGTTTGTCTTTCTCCACTATTTCTGTTCTTGTTCCCTATACGCCACTAAACAATTCATTCTTTCTTTTTCTAATGGGCGGACAGGAGAGGGAGGCTGACATTTGGAGAGGCTTGCACTGTTACACCCACTCTGACTTATTATTTTTTCCTGTTCAATATTCAAACATTCCAAGGGGGAGTATAAGATCATAAACTTTCTTTGTTAAAAGCCGTCGGCGGTGGACTTCAAAACTTGTTACTTACCGTTTTCACTTCAGAATACTGTTCCAGGCCATATTCACCTCTGAAATAAACGAATAAATCAATGTAAGTTCAAGAAGGCCATAGACTATAACGACAGTAAAATTTAACCAAGGCTTTCAGTCTAGTAACTCCCGTCGGCTTCAATCAAACCAACATCTGCTAAGAACTAACACAAGTAGGTGACGATTTAAAGAAGCTAGGTCACGATTTGCGCATCTTGAAAAGTTCAGCCGAACTTTTACAAGTTCGTCGTTTGTAATCCGTCTCAATCTTCTCCATCCTTGACCATCCTTGTTCCTTCATGGTTTATTATTACTTCTTTAGTGTTTTTCTACTTCTTAAAATTATCATTTCAAGGTTTCCTTCAATTTAAAGATAATTGTGTACGTGGCCAAAATAACTCAAAATACCGTGACTGAATTCCACTAAGGGCCAATAAAGCGTTTTTATTATCCACTGCAGCGAATACCGTCCAAATAACAGTACAAATATACAGCGATTATTGTACAGTTATTTGTACAGTAGAAAACCTGTTTGATGTACAGGTCGGCGCGCGCACTCAAAACTGTCACACTCTCCCTCTTTCATTGATAAATTTATTGACTACAGTAGTTGGATAATAAATCTCTTATTAGATGTTTTGGTGTAGTATCGCTTCATATTTTTACTCGTTGTTTGTATAAGCGCAACTCGCACGAATATACAGCGATACTACACATCAAAACATCTAATAAGATACATCAACAACTGCCATTTTGTTTCTTTTTTTTTTTCCCAAACAATAGGAAATGGTGGCACGAGAAAAGAACTCAATTTCCAAAGGGTAGAAAGTTCATTCGTTGGGAGCACCAACATGGACACTGTCACGTTACGCTGTCACGTCAAGAAAATCCTTGTTACACAAACAGCATAGTCATTCTTTAGCTTTTGCTGTTCTTTCACTTCTTTTCCAATGACGAAATTCAACAACAGTACAAGATATGCAGTTAGTAAATACCACACACTAGAAAAACAGAACTCACAGTTCCCGTCCTGATCCTGACATTTTGAAGCCACCAAATGGTGCTTGAGAATGGAGAACATCGTAGCAATTAACCCTGTAAAATGAAAGAGTTACAAAAAACTCATGATTAAAAATTTTAATCGCGGTAATATGTCGGCGGCCAATTGTGGAATCTCAATTCGGCAGCTCAAGGGAACAGTTTTCGACGATAAGGGTTATTGCTTCAACTCCTGTTTAGGTTACCATATACCTTTAGAACTGCCTCATGTCCAAGCGACGCAGCGCGTTCGGTTTAAACTGTAGATACCTAAACCCCTAGGTGATTGGGACGCTCACGTCTAGAGGTCGTGAAAAATTTGACAATTCATTTTATTTCAAAATTCTTGGTATACTTTGATAACTAGATCTATAAGCTTTAATTGACATAGGGGTTAAGTATCTACAGTTTAACGGGCGCGCTACATTGCTTGGACGCGAGACCCTTCTAAAGGCATACGGTAACCTTGAAATTAGCTTTTTTCCACGTAGCTTGCGAAACTGACTTAGAAATAATATATTTTTTAACTATGATTTCGTCTCAAAATTACAGTTTCAGCGAAAAATTTACAAAACTGTCAATTATTACGCGTGGACGGCAAAATCCCGTCGCATACCAGCTCAAACCCGTGGAGAAATCTATCACGCCTGAGCAGCATTAGCATTCAAAGAGGCACTTTCGAAATATATGTAAACTCAACCCAGTACAAGAAAAGAAACGTCTATGTAAAACGACGATATTATTTCCTCCAAACTCTCCCCGAACCCTGAAAAAATTTGGAACATCTTCGGAAATCTTCCCTGACGCCTTAGGATATGGTCGGGTCGTCTTCGACAATTCGGAGACTCCAAGATAAAGTGCCACGCCTTTGACTCGGGAAAACTTTGGCAGTTATATTTGCCAATTTGCTTTTGAGGAAGGGCTGTTTTACAATATCTGCAGAAATTATCGCGCTTTCATTGACTAATTTTGATTCGTTCTCAGTGAGCAGATAGACACATGAATATAGAATTTATGCGATGTTTTTAGTGTAAAAAATAAAATGACGTTAGTTTTTCATGCCCCTGTCCTGTTATTGATGATGAATTTCGTCAGAACCTTGTCAAAGTAGTCTGCGGATCCACTCAGCTATCACCTCGTGGATCCACAGTTACTTTGACAACGTCATGACGAAATTCACAATCAATAACGGGACAGACGCATGAAAAACTGACATCAATTTGTTAATTCACTCACCACACAGTGCCCGCGCGCACACTAGAGGCGATAGTATTCATCTTGTCAATGTCCTTGGTGAACACGGACGCTGCCAAGCCATAAATGGTATTGTTGGCTCGTTCGATCAGCTCATTCATGTCCTTGAACTTCATGATCTGCATCACTGGTCCGAAAATCTATCACAGGAAAAACGTGAGGGAACTAGAGTCAGCGTAAGAGCTATTTGTCCAACAGCAGTCAATTTTGTGATGAGAATATTAACTCTTAGATAAATGACAGTGCTTTAAGTGAACGAGAAAAAAAAGAAAGAAAGAACTTGCACGTCATGGTTCCCTAGTTTCGCGATTCAAATTCCGGCTGCGGGAAAGCAATTCCTATTCTCCGAATAAGCCGTGTTTTGTCAGGTAAGTTGCCATCTCAAAGCATCCGCACGCCACCATGCTGAAGTGACAAAGTTAGGACACTCGCGCACTTAAAACAAAAAGTATCGTAGACTCTTCGGCTATTTCCCCGTCCTCCCCTCCCTTGTGGTCACGACAATCGTCACTTTAAGGTTACACTATACCTTCGCGGGTGCCCTTCAGAAAAAATTCGTACCAGCGTTGTTTTTTAAGGAAACTACCACAAACCGTATATCAATAGAAAGGTTACAAACTGTAGAATTCGGAAAAATATCCACTGTTTTGGCCGTGCCTTTGCTGAGAGAAAGAAGCTGGAAAAAAACGACCGACTGTCATTTGAGCGCAAGCAGTAATGTTTAAGAACTGCACGGTGCTAATCAGCAAGCATCAATCTCTCAAAGGGTGTCAAGGTTTTCCTTTATTCTTATTGGTTTTTTTTAATAGACCCGTGAAGATATAGTATCGAATAATTTGCCGACCCTGTAGCGTTCGCGCCCGTCACATCCTGTCATGATATAAAAGAATTCCCGCGTTCTACCGCTTGTCACCAGCTACGCTTTACACTTCAATTAAGGCTTAATACATTAGGCTTTTATGCATTAGACCATTATTTTTTGGATGGGGCGTTGGCATTTTTCCGGGGCATGAATTTTTTTTTTTCGCACCTTTAGGTTGCGCACGATTTTTTTTGGTGGGTGATAGCTTGTGCAAGAATTTTTTTTAAGTCAAACACAGGACATGGATAGTTGAGAGCACTTGCTCGATCGTTTTTTTTCCTATGGTTTCCCTTGCACGATTTCTTTTCAGCCGTTTTTGCTGTGCAGGAATTTTTTTGGGAAATTGCACCCACCTCCCCTCCCCTTCAAAAAATAATGGTCTGGCCCTTAACTAACTTGCAACCGGCTACTTGTTTTCACGGACTTGCGAAAGGGTTGGCTGAATTTGCGCGTTACCAACCTACTACCTTTCCCTGCTTTCGCAACCGGTTATCATTTTTCCCGCGCTTGTAGCTGGTAACGCGATTTTGCCTTGAATTACCAGTGGGTTACTTCACTTCTTTTCCCAACAGTATCTCGTTCTGAACATATTTTTAAAATTCGATGGTACGTTGCTCTAAAGATACCTCTTCTTTAGCAATTCTCATGTCATCCTGAACATCAGAGAACACGGTGGGCTGGATGAAGTAGCCCTTGTCGCCATGTTGTGCTCCTCCGTACGCCAGATTTGCCCCTTCCTTGTTTCCACTCTCTATCAGCGACAGTATCTTTCCGAATTGCTCCTTGTCCACCTTTCACAAAGAGAACAAGCAAGCGACAATTAACTTGAAACCTCATACGCTAAGTGTCATCAATCGGCAACAGACACAAACAAACAATCTGCAGAAACTAGGGAGTTTAAGCAAATCGCTACGGCTGGCTCTGATACGGCTGCCGGAAGTAAATTTCCCCCAAAATGAGACACTGCGCATGTACGTCGGTTGAATCCAGCCGTAGCGTGAAATCTGACTACGTGAGTCGGGATGTTTTGCCGTAGTGGCTACTACGTCGGG